GCTGAGCTTCTTGTTCAATGACATCTGGAAGTCAACACATCTGGAAGGCCTATTCTGGGATAGTAAGCTGTACTAGTAAACGAGAATTGCGAGGTCAGTAAAATCCCAGGTTCCAAATTTTCCAAAATCTAAGACCTAGGGATGGTTCTTGTTTGGGTGGTGGAGCCCGGTGATATCATTAAACGTTATGCATTATGCACCAACCACAACTGGCCACAGGCTGTCATTTAAACACACACACACACACATAGAGAATCTATTTTCCTGTTCGGAAATCAAGAGCCTTTGCAAACTGTAATGCTTGATTTAAATCAACCGTTTTTTACCAGATTGGTGGTTTGCATGCAACCTTGTCTCCAGGGCTGATCGCATATAAAAAAAGAAGAGCCTGAACACTGGATTGTCACTTGAAAGTAATCTGCCAGAATTGGGGACTCTGGGCAATGCAACCCTATAGAAAACTCAGCTTTAAATTTTCATTCAGTCCTGTTGTTGTTTTGGTGACTGTAGGACCCTCAGTATCACGGCTTTGCAGGACCATTGAAAAGATAAAGTGGCAGTAGGACACCCTATATATAATCCTGAGCATTTTGAATGAAGGATCGGATGGAAGGAAGCAATAACGCACAGCTGTATGAAGGCCAACCTTCCAGCATTGCCTAACTCCCCAGCATGGCCACCTCAAAGGAAAACCACACCAAGGATGTGGCAGGGAGCACAAGGGGGATGGGGAGAGGGAAGCACATATACAGTAAGTTGCATCAGCGTCATCGTTTTGTCCTGTGGCATTGTTTCCAAAGAGCCAGGTTACCAAATAATTTGATCGTTGTCACTATCTACCTTCAGGGGCCTTCTAGCCCCTCTGAAGAGCCCTCAAACCGGAATCTCTTCCTTGCTGTACAAATAATACAATGTGCCTATCTGTAGCAGACCCTCACTAGGCCTTGTAAGCCAGTCACCAAGTACATGACTTAATCCAGGTTGCGCAAGCCAAGCAAATTGGGTGAGGCAGCATCCATGGGGGGAGGGAGGGCAGGGGAAAAGAGAGGCCCTTTTGTGTTGCAGGCTGCCACTCAACAGGAAGGCCTGCACGCAAAGGGAAGGCTCTTCTCCAGAACAGTTAATGGCTGGGCAAGCGTATTGTATGCAAATCCGCAAGCAACTGAGCATGGAATTCGATGCGTAAAGAGCTTTCTAAAATTAACATGTAGTCTCTCACTGAAAAGTAACTTTTCCAAGCCATGCATGTCTGCAACTCCATCGTCTGGTCTCGCCCTGCCCTCCTTCAACCCTGCCACCCCATTAGTCAAAGCGTGCCTTACCTGGAGAGCTCTCAGAGTCTGCAAGACAGGTAGGGAAGGCGGGTTCTTGTTTGCATGAATCCAAGTCATAGATGCAACCATTGGGGAACTGCAAAGCGCAGCACAGGTTGGGGGCCAACATTAAAATTTGTCTCAAACATTCATATCAATAGAAAAAAAAGAACACAAGAGTCCTCTTGATTCTCAACTGACCCTCAACCTTTTTTTTTTCCATGTCAGAAACTACAAGTCACTTCTGGTGTGAGAGAATTGGCCGTCTGCAAGGATGTTGCCCAGGGGATGCTTGGATGCTTTACTATCCTGTGGGAGGCTCCTCTCATGTCCCTGAGTGGAAGCTGGAGCTGACAGATGGGAGATCACCCTGCTCCCCTTTTGGTCAGCAGACCTGCCGGCACAAAGATTTAATCTATTGCACAACCGGGGGGCTGATAAGGCAGCTTTATTCCCCCAACAATGCAAGGATCCAGAGTGAGCAAACATTACTTGTTTACACTATCACTCTGACAATTTCCCACCTGGCAGGTCCAGATTAGGTAATCTGGAAGCTTTCTTTCTGAAATCAAATTTTACAAATTTTTGGAAACTTTAGACTCCGAAATAAAAGCAGGCACAAATACTTCCACGCTGATGGATTTTTCCCACCACTGGTGACATTCCCTCAGGTGTGGTGCTTTTCTCCATCCAGTTTTCTCTTTCTGCCATTTCTTTTTCCCTCTCTCTCCCTCCTTATGCCACCCTTCCCATTCCTCCTTTCTCACTAATACATTCTTCCTCTCTCTGACACTTATCTCTCCCTATTTCATGCACTTCTTTTTCACTCTTGCTTTTCACATGGCTGTTCCAGTCACAGATTACACCATAATCCCCCCCAAATACTTTCCCTTTCCCTTTCTCCATCCATCTCTTTCTTTGCCACAGCTTAAAATTTCCTTATCACTTTCTGTCACCCCACTTTCTCTCTCCCCCAGCCTTTGGCTCTTTTTTTCCTTTTCCTCTACCATCACTTCTGACTCTTTCTCTCCCCACTCATTTCTTTACTTTTTATCATATCTTTTTTTCCCCCAGTTTCTCTCTCTTTCTCTCCCTCCCCCTCTCACGGCCGCTCCCTTTCTTCTTCCTCCCTCTCCTCCAACTTCTTCTCTTTTCTTCTTTCTCCCTCTCTTCTTCCTCCCTCTCCTCCGTCTTGTACTTCTCTTCTTCCTCCCTCTCCTCCAACTTCTTCTCTTTTCTTCTTTCTCCCTCTCTTCTTCCTCCCTCTCCTCCGCCCTGTACTTCTCTTTCTTCCTCCTCTCCTCCCTTCCTCTTCTCTCCCTCCTTCTCTCTCCCTCTCTCTCCTTCCCCCTCTCCTCTCTCCCTCTCCCTTTCTGCCTTCCTCTCTCCCTCCTCTTTCTCCCTCCTCTCTCTCCTCCCTCCCCCTCTCTATCCCCCTCCCCTCCTCTCTCCCCTCCCCCTCTCCCTCCTCTCTCCCTCTCTTTCTCCTTCCCTCTCTCCCACTCCCTCTTCTTCTCCCTCTCCCTCCCTCTCCCTCCCCCCCTCTCTCCCTCCCTCCTCTCTCCTCCCTCCCCCCTCTCTCTTCCTCTCCTCCCTCTCCTCCCTCCTTCTCTCCCCTTTCCTTTCCCTACTTCTCCTTCTCCCCTCTCCTCCTTCTCTCCCTCTTTCCTCCCTCTTCCTCCCCTTTCTCCATCTCACTCCATTTCTCTTGCTTCCTCCCTCCCCCTCCCTCTGCCTCTCTCCCTCAGGCTCCCTCTCTCCTCCCTCCCTCTCCCTCCCTCTCTCTCCTCTCTTGCTTCCTCTCCCTCCCTCCCTCTCCCTCAGCCATGGACCACTTGTTGCCCTCCACATCTTAAGACTCCTCCACCAAATTAAAAAATCCAAAGCCACCTACTTACCATGTATCCATACTGGGATCCCTCGAATCTGCCAAGAGAAATATAGACATTGGTTAAGAGACATCATTGCTCCGTACTTGAAATCCATCCTGCATCTCTGCTGCGGCCACGTTATTCACAGCCACTGGAGATTTATTAAAACCTTAGAGGGAATTATTTGGAAAACAGAGCTAAGGAAAGTGACTTTTCTAGGACTGTAAACCCCAGAATCCACCCAATCACTACAGCTCATGACCAAGATATCTCATTTTATGTATAAATAAATGCAAATACAAGTATTTCAAAATATGAAAAAACCCCAAATCTAATACAGTTCTGGTTCCAAGCATTACAGATAAAGGATACGCAATCTATAGCTGCATCTCCAAGTTCTGCTAAAAATAATAGAAGCCCAATTCATAGGACAGCAATAACTACTTGTTTGGTGTTATTAATGTTTTGAGAAGGAGAGAATAAAGAGTATTTTTACAAGACTGTGTACATTTGCTGCACAATCCCATCAAGCTTTGGTCAGAAGTAAATAACACAGTGTTCATTATTTCAGAGGAGACCTTTATTCAGCCTTTGCCAGCTTAAAAGTAATGTTTGTGTGGGTGGGGCTAGTGTCAATCTAACAAAATTATTTCTCTGTGCTGCCTTATTCTCCCCCACCATTCAGGTGTGTGCTGTTCACTGTCTGCCTGCAACATGAAGTTTCCCACTTTTTTCTGTTTTGGTCAAACCTCGCTGGGAATAGGGTGTCTACGCTCTGAGCACTACAGTTCATAAAGTATATTGACAAGCTAGGAGCCACAATAGCTGACACCAGTGTTTCTCTATTTTCCGAATGGCGCAACCACTTAATACAGTTTCTCATGTTGTGGTGACCCCCAACCATAACATTATTTTCATTGCTACTTCATAACTGTCATTTTGCTACTGTTATGAATCGTAATGTAAATATCTGATATGCAGGATGTATTTTCATTCACTGGACCAAATTTGGCACAAATACCTGGTACGCCCAAATTTGAATATTGGTGGGGTTAAGGGAGGGAATTAATTTTGTCATTTGGGAGTTGCTGGGATTTATAGTTCACCTACAATCAAAGAGCATTCTGGACTCCACCAACATTTGAATTAAACCAAACTTGGTACGCAGAACTCCCACGAAGAGAAAATACTGGAAGGGTTTGGTGGGCTTTGACCTTGAGTTTGGGAGCTGTAGTTCACCTACATCCAGAGAGCACTGAGGACTCAAACAATAATGGATCTGGACCAAACTTGGCACAAATACTCCACCCAAACTGGTGGAGTTTGGGGAAAATAGAAAATAGAGTTGTAGTTGCCGGGATTTATAGTTCACCTACAATCAAAGAGCATTCTGAACCACATCAATGATAGAATTGGGCCAAACTTCCCACATAGAACCACCATGGCCAAGAGAAAATACTGTGTTTTCTGATGGTCTTTGTTGACCCCTTGGGCACCCTCTTGCGACGCCCCCCCCAGGGGTCCCGACCCCCAGGTTGAGAAACACTGCTGTACATGATGCTTATAGGTGGACATATAACATTTATTGGAAATTATACCTGCACAGAGTTGACTTCAGAAATACTCAATATGCCCAAATTTGGACACTAGTGGAGTTTGGGAAAAATAGACCTTGACATTTGAGAGTTGTAGTTGCTGGGATTTATAGTTCACCTACATATATGTGTTTTCTGATGGTATTTGGATACCCTCTGAATTCCCCCTCGTGAGCCTCCTCATAGGAGCTGTGCTTGCACAAAGGGTTAAACCCTTGTGCTGGCTGAACTGACCTGAAGGTTGGCGGTTCGAATTCACAAGACAGGGTGAGCTCCCATCTGTCAGCTCCAGCTTCCCATGCGGGGACATGAGAGAAGCCTCCCATAGAATGGTAACACATCCCAGCATCCCCTGGGCAATGTCTCTGCAGATGATCAATTTTCTTACACCAGAAGGGACTTACAGTTTCTCAAGTCCCTTCTGACTCAATAAAAAAAATTGACAAGCTGGAAAATATCCAAAAGAAAACTACCAAGATGGTCAAAGATCTGAAAACTAAGCGCTATGAGGAACAGCCCAAGGAGCTGGGTACCTTTAGCTTTGAGAATACAATATCTGAATGAGCGTCAAGTGGAAGATGAAGCTTGTTTGTCAGCGACTAGGACACACGATGGCCTCCTAACGTAAACATTCACTCCAAGTTTTTGAACTCCCAATGGAGATGGATACATAAAATTTATTCATATTTATAACTCTGTTTCAATCCTTTCTGCATGTTAGCGCAAACCAAAAGTGAAATAAAAAATCTCCAGATATCTGTCCTTTGCAATCCGAGATCAGTTGTGTGTTTAACCATTTGTTTCCAAGCTTTGATAAGAGTTTTAGGGATTTCCTTCTTTCTAATTCAGGTATTTTCCAGTGGTGGAAAGGATAATAAAATATGCCCGGAGGATAGCGATGTGATTAAATGTATTTACAGCCTTGTCTTGACTGCCCACCCCTTTAAAAAACACTTCATGTAGAACCTGAACATCAAGATTAGATATAGTGGAGAAGCTTCACTCGTAAACCTTTTGCATTCAAGAGTGGACACCGAGTATGCCATTCACTTTTTAAATGCCCTGTTCTGATGGGAAGGGTTGTTTGAAGGGGGAACAGACTATTTCAGAAGGCGGTGGATTCTCCTTTATTGAAGGTCTCTAAGCAGAGGTTTGGATGGTCATCTGTCAAGAGTGCTTCCTACATGGCAAGGGATTGGAGTATCTCAGGGATTTCCAAACTCTACTGCTCTAGGCTTTTGGACTTTAGTTCCCAGAAGCCTCAGCTGGGAGCTGAAGTTCAAAATACATGGAAAACCAGAGTTTAGGAAACACTGCTTGGTCCTAGGTAAAGGTAAAATAAAGGTTTCCCCTCACATTAAGTCTAGTCGTGTCTGACTCTGGGGTGTGGTGCTCATCTCCATTTCTAAGCTGAAGAGATGGTGTTGTCCGTAGACACCTCCAATGTCACGTGGCCAGAATGACTGCATGGAGTGCCATTACCTTCCTGCATAAGCGGTACTTCCTGATCTACTCACACTTGCATGTTTTCTACCTGCCAGGTTGGCAGAAGCTGGGGCTAATATTGTTGATGCGTTAAAATGAGTTGTATTTTATTTTATTTTGCTGTGTACTATTGTATATTGTTTACCGTACTGCTGGCCTTGGCCCCATGTAAGCTGCCCTGAGTCCCCTGGAGAGATGGTGGAGGAGTATAAATAAAGATTATTATCATTATTATTATTATTATTATTATTATTATTATTATTAACAGCAGGAGCTCACCCTGTTCTCTGGATTCGAACCGCCAACCTTTTGGTCAGCAAGTTCAGCAGCTCAGCAGTTTAACCTGCTGCACCACCAGGATTTTGTACTTCAGTTCCCACAAGCCTCACCTACCTTGGTCAATTAGAAGTGAACCTGGGAGCTAAAGTTACAAACACATGGAAAACCAGAGTTTGAGAAACACTGTTTGCTCCTTGGTATTCTTTCCAACTTTATAATCATGACTGTCATCCAGAATTTAGGATAATATTTGATCAGGGAACTAGGAAAGTGAAGGACTCCTGCTTTAGTCCTGAGAAGCATAATACTTCTCCAAAACGTACTTTAGACATGTCCATGGATCGGGTCTCCTGCTTAGACACAGTACCCAATCCTTAACCAATTTCCTTCCTTTCTTTCTCAAGTATCGTGTTGGAACCCATCATAGCTGGAGAAACAAGGCTATACGAAGCAGAAAGAATTTGAAGGTGGATCCCCTAGATCTGAACACAGTGCATTCACCTCTCGAGACCCTGTTATTTCCATCCACTTGTTTATATATGCCAAATTGATAATCCAGACAGAGCTTGGGAGTAACATATTAAAAGTCACACTATCACATTTGTAAGCAGTAAAGGCCAAAATCCAAACTCTAAAATGGTATAACGTCACCAGTGATTTTTTCCTTTGCCAAACAAGTACACCCAAGCAGTACATCTTCAAAATATTATGTGGGAGATCATATGGAGAATCTGAGACTTTATTAAAGGTAGTATTGATTTATCGTGTCAGAAGCGAGTTGAGGGTACAGTTAAAATGCATTTAAAAACACAAAGTTCTAAAAAAGAACTTGGCATTATGCTAAATGTCCTTTGACCAGAAGCTGGTCACTTGGAGTGCCTCTGGTGACACTGTGAGAAGGTCCTCCATTGTGCATGTGGCAGGGCTCAGGTTGCATTGTAGTAGGTGGTCTGTGGTTTGCTCTTCTCCACACTCGCATGTCATGAATTCCACTTTGTAGCCCCATTTCTTAAGGTTGGCTCTGCATCTCATGGTGCCAGAGTGCAGTCTGTTCAGCACCTTCCAAGTCGCCCAGTCTTCTGTGTGCCCAGGGGAGTCTCTCATTGGTATCAGCCACTGACTGAGGTTCTGGGTTTTAGCCTGCCACTTTTGGACTCTTGCTTGCTGAGGTGTTCCTGCAAATATGTCTATAGATCTTAGAAAACTATTTCGTGATTTAAGGAACTGGCATGCTGGCTAATATCCAAACAGGGGATCGGCCGGAGATGTCACTGCCTTGGTCCTTTCACTGCTGGCTGCTACTTCCTGGCGGATGTCAGGTGATGCAATACCAAGTAAACAGTGCAATTTTTCCAGTGGTGTAGAGTGTAGACATCCTGTGATACTGCGGCATGTCTCATGAAGAGCCACATCCACAGTTTTGACGTCATAAGATGTTTTCCACACTGGGCATACATATTCAGCAGCAGAGTAGCAAAGCACAAGGCCAGATGTCTTTACTGTGTCTGATTTAAAGATAGTGTGAGACTGACACATAACATGTTCCTTTTTCAAAACAATCGGAGATAACAATTTTGGGGAGAGTGAGCCAGCAGGTGGATGACTGTGCCAATTTTCATCTCCAGATACATCCGATATGCCACAAAAACGCTATCTTGCTTTCTTTTTAGAACTTTCCACCCAATGTTTTGGGGCTCCTATTGGCTAGGAATCAAACCACTGTATTTGGGGCTACTTTTAAAGTTAAATCTTCCAGATCTAGTGGCAGGTGATATTTTGTTCTTGGACTTAGTTTAAATAGTTGGATCAACCGTGATCAATTCTAGGCTTTGAGTATCCACCCCTTAGCTTTACATCTTAGATCAGGCATGGCTGTTAGGAATTTTGGGAGTTTAAGTCCAAAACACCTGGAGGGTCAAAGTTTTGCCCGTACCTGTCTTAGACCCCCTACTGCCTTGATCTTCTGGGATATAGGGCTGTGGGGAAGGGCCCTGTGTCCCTTCCTATGGAATCCTGAGGCTTGCATTTGGGGAGAGGCACTAGAACTCTCTAGCTGAGAATTTTATTTGCCACTCTCTAAACTGCAAATCCCACAATTCCATCACAAAATAACTACTTCAGGGAAAGGGTCCTTCCACGCAGCCCTATATCCCAGAATATCAAGGCAGGAAATCCCCCAATATCTGCTTTGAACTGGGTCATCTGAGTCCACACTCAAACAATATGGGATTTTCTGCCTTGATATCCTGGGATATAGGGCTGTGTGGAAGGGCCCCAAGTAGAATCTTGGAGCCTTTTCACATAGACATAAAACCCAGAATATCAAGGCAGAAAATCTCACAATGTCTGGGTTATCTGAGTCCACACTGCCATATATTCCAGTTCAAAGCAGATAATGTGAGATTTTATCTAGCTGTGTGGAAGGTACCCTAGTGCTATTGTTCTGCAGTGTAAATGGGCCAACATGACATAGGACTTGTAGAGCTAACATAAAACCATCTTTCTCGAGGGAGGATGTTTTTGCACAGAAGGTGCCACCACCCCTCATGCACCGCTCTATTCACAGTCACACTCTTGTGAGCAGAGGAAATATTCAAATCATATTTCCCTCACCTTTGCTGGCCTCGGGTTTTGCATAACAGGCAAAAGGGAGGGGAAGGAAAGTGAGAGGGAGAAAGGGACACATTGGGGGTAGAGGGGGGGTCAGAGAATACAAAATACTCTTATTTTTAACTAGTCGTCCCCTGCTATGTGTTGCTGTGGCCCAGTCTGTGCATATGTGTTTTGTGTGTGTATATATATATTTGTGTATATATGTGGTTTTGCGCATGCATTGTAATGTATTTTTTATTTTGTGTCTTTTTAAGTCTCTTTTACTGTGTTTTTCAGTGTTTTTATGAGTGATGGTCACTTGTCCTGATACGCGTCTTGTGTCCAAATTTGGTGTCAATTCATCCAGTGGTTTTTGAGTTATGTTAATCCCACCAACAAACATTTCATTTTATTTATATAGATTTCTCTTTTGGTCTATATAGAGTACTATTAAAGTACTGTCAAAGGCATTCATGGCCAGAATTACTGGGTTGTTGTAAGTGTTCTGGGCTGTATGGCCATGTTCCAGAAGCATTCACTCCTGACATTTTGCCTGCATCTATGGCCGGCATCCTCACAGGTAGATGCAGGAGAAACGACAAGAGAGAATGCTTCTGGAACATGGCCATACAGCCCTAAAAACTTACAGCAACCCAATACTATAAAGCCTGGTCAAAATATACTGGCAGAAAGCAACCTGCTTCTGAGGGAAAGTCCCTAAATGTACCTTTTCATTGCTATCTCATCCAGAGTTTTATAATTTTATGTCGTGCATTTGGCCCGCCCACTGTGATTGATTTTCCATTATGTTATTTTGTACTTTTTATTTTACTTGATTGGTGTATGTATTTTATTGTGATGTTAATTTGTTTTTATGTTGCTGTAATTTATCGCTGCCCTTGGCCTCATGTAAGCCGCT